ATATTTAAATAAATTTAATGAAATAAAAGAAATCTATCAAATTAAAAACGGCAAGGATATAGAAACATCATTTTTTAATATTAATGAAGAAGCTATCTAGCTTAAACAATTTTAAGTAACTTGTACGTGTTTGTAAAATAGAACTGAATCTCATATCAGGACATTTACAACTTTAGGTTAAGTTTTGGTGTGAAAAATAAAAATTAATTGAATTCAACATTCCATAAAATCCCCAAGTGCGTTCACTATTACAATTCCAATGAATTGCAAATTTCCCTTTAAAGGTTTCTGCTCAAATACCCATTTTTCTCAACCCTCGTCCCCAATCGAACTGTTGATTTTAGAAGTGAGTTTCGGATATGGGGCCGGTGGTGGTTTGTGGCCATCTGTGCCAGCATCGCCTTCCTGGGCGCTGTACCTTTAATTGTCCTGCTCTTTAGCAATGTGGCATTCCTGCGTTCCTTTCTTTCTCTCCTCAATACGAATTCCGCAAGTTTTCAGTGGCTGTTTTTGTGAGGGGAATCCGGTTCCTTGCGGGCAAGTACGCCTTGGGGCGCAATAAAATGTTTAATAAATTGCAAAAGTGCGCCGAAAGCGCCAAAAGGAAGCGACAGCCAGGATGAGCGTGTTGGGTTGGTAAGAGTCCGGCGCAGACGCTGGCCAGTTGAACACAAGTCAACGACATATAGCAGACACAAACATATTCTAATGAAGCTCAAGTGGAAAGCTCCAGTGACGACTCACATACATACATACATACATACATACTATAGGCTTTGGCAAACAGCCGAGGCGTCGGGCAGAAGGGGGCGTGCGGTCATGTTTGGGGGCGAGGCACAGGCCATGTTTGGCTTGCGGGGCACGTAAAATGTATTGAATAATTACATTGGGCCGCCTAACGGCATACGAAATGAGCCAGAACTTGGACTCCAACTCCAACTCGAACTCGAACTCAAACCGGAGTCAAAGTCGAGGCCGGACGTGGGCCACGCCCATCCCGCCCACATCCCCACCTGTACAGCGAACGAGCCGCTCCTGTCGCCTAATGAGCGTCGCAGGCATTCGAAATTCGAAAGTTTAAAACGCCGCAGGAAATAAACTTTTTTCTGTTTTTTCTTTTTTTTGGGTGAGAGAGATAGAGATTGATGATGAATCCACAGAATGCATTTCGCCCGAAAATTGAATTTCGTTGGAACCGAGAATCTGGGAATCGGACAGCGGAAAGCGGGGAGGGAGCAGGCCGATGGCCTTTAAGTAGTGCTAAAGTATCAATCAAAATGCGTGCGCTCGACACAGTCATGAAATTACATTGAAATTTTCGAATGCTCAGTCAAGGTGAAGGAGCTGCGGCATGAAACCGAATCCCGGAGTCTGGAACTGAATCGCCCAAGAGGCATCCCAAGCAAAGAGCCGGGGAAGCGCTTACCAAATCAGAGAAAAAAAATACAAAGCGAGAAAACAAAAGATGATTTATCATTACAAGAGGGAGCCAAAGCGAAAGATCTGGGGGTCTTACAAATTGGATTGCCGAGGGGGATCGAACAAAATTAGCTACGCGAGCGAAGGTAGAAAAACATGCAGGAATGTTATAGTAGGGAACTCGGACTTATATCTGGGTCTATACATTGTAAAATAAAGTAGAAATAACTTATTCTCTTCCTCAATGTTCAGTAAATGTAACAGTTATTCAACTATCTGTCTTAAAGCAGTCACTAACAAGGTGCTTGAAAGTCACCAGATTACGATTTTACGATTAAACAAGTTACTTTTCTACCCTCAGAAAATGTATTTAAACGGAACACAATAACAGTGCTGTTAACTTTTCTGTTAATTATCGAATATATCCGTAAAATACTGAATTGTACCTTTCATTTCCGGACCGAAAACATTTGCCAGGGAGTTCCGCGTCTCTGTCAATGCTAAAACTCACATTTAGACTGTAGCACAGTAGGCAGTTTTCTTAGCCGGAAACTGACTGCTAAATACTAACAGGCAGTTTTAAGACCGGGACAAAAATAACGATGAGAAAATTATGTTTTGATTGAACTCGCCAGACAATTGTATCACTTTTTACGATTCGAATACAAAATAAACATTAAACTTCATTAACTCAAACTAATAATGACCCCAAGTTTAAAATTGTCAATATAACTAGTTATTTTAAAATAGTGTGAGGGTAGTTCTTGATCCTGGAAAAGTTTCAAACCTTTTAGAAATTGTATCGTTTAAATCGATAGGAAACAATATGTAATCGATCAAAAACATGATTTTTTATACCCTTGCAGGGTCAGGTTTTAGTCAAAAGTTTTCAACGCATTGATGGAGACATTTCCGACCATATTAATTATATAGATATATTCTTAATAAGAATCAACAGCCGAGTCGATCTAGCCAAGTCCGTCTGTCCGTTTCTACGGAAACAGTTTTGAAGCTTACTCAATGAAACTTTGCAGCATGGTAGAATTATACAAGGTAGTCTCGTCGGCAAAAGCACTCCGCTATTCATTACTCACAACAAGTGCGAGTGAGAGGAGTCTGCGAAGTAAGTGCGAGTGAAACGACAAAAGAGCTTTTAGTTTAGCCCTTAGATGGTCCATGGGGGTTAAATTGTTCATACATAGTAAAAGGAGTTGAAGTGTTTTATAACTTAATTTTTAATAGTTTGGAATTTGATATTAATCTTTGTTTTTGTTTTTGTAAAGCTATTTTTTTGTTTAAATTCTTAATTTTAAAATATATCCGAATCTTAAAGTAAAATTTTTTTATATCTAAATTAATGTTTATGTTCTTAGCAGAACGACATCGCACACAAGGGTTAATAGTAAGAAAAAAATCGTCCGCACACAACCTTTCTGCTTGACAAACACGAACGCACTGAAAATAAGCCGAACGGTTAGGCAGCCGACCAGACTACCTTGTATAATTGTATCATGCTTTGCAGTTAGTCTTCTTTATACTCTGACTCGCATACATGTCGGAACGGGCCGGGTCGGACGATTTTAGCTGCCATACAAACGATCGGAAAGTTTTTAGAACAAATTCTTACTTTTCCAATTTTCAACAGATTTTCATATAATTTGAGATATAGCCATTTTACTTTATTCTAGAATTTCCGATTTAATTTTATGAAAATCGGACTGCTATATAATTTAGCTGTCATACAAACGATCGTTAGATTTAGAGAAAACCCCAAAATGTGAATGTAAAACTCTAACTGTAATACTTTAAATATGTTGTTTTGACATAAATTTATATAATTTATCTTGTATTGATTCCTAAAGATCAAACTGCAACCTGCAAGGGTATAAAAACTTCGGTGAGCCGAAGTTGTCTTTTTTTCTTGTTTGATTTAAAATAAACGAATGGATTAACCGAATCGAGTGAGACTTACTACGATATCTACCCGCCTTCGCTAAGTTTTTAAAGAGGTAAATCTTTGGGGCTTGGATTATACACCCATTATGTATTAGGTTTTATTATTTAAAATTACAAGTATAAAGCACTTTGATTGGTGATCTCGCAGACAAATTCATTAACATTTACTGACCGTTAATCTGGGAGAGAACTTGGAAGATTCCTCGTGTCTTCGTTTCTTCGAAATGCACAAATGGAACCAGTCCAAGATCAGAGTTGGCGATGGGTCACAGCTGATAAATTCATTAAATGCTCGGGGGACTCTGGGAACTCGAGGAGGGACTGAGGAACTGGACAGGGTAGGCAATGGCAACTGAAATTTAATACATTTTTTTGGGGGATGATGACGATGATGATGATGATGTGGGCTCGATAGTGGCAGTTGTTGCTGTTGCTGTTGGTGCTGCCTTTATTGATGTTGCCTGGTGTCATTGTTGATGTTGCCGATTCTTTGTTGGTGGTGCCATGCGGGGTTTCTCCCCAGACCAATGCAGACGTACAAATGATTTTGATTTCAATTTTTCCTTCCAACTATAACTGCCATCCCCATTTCCCCCGCTCGGGAGATACAATCGTGCAACATGGGCTGAGTTTCGAGGGAAGAGTTTTATGGATGCAATGTTTCCATTAACGCCACCGAATCTGGCCAGTGATGTGGGGAGGCGCCGAACGAAGGTTAATAAATTCAAAGCACTTGGAACTCCATTTTCCTATATTTAATTTCCGAACGAAGCTCACGAACCTTGGGCAGGTTCACAGGACAAAAGGAGTAGAGAAAGGCCATGGAAAAACCGTCACCCGACAGTCGAAGTTGCAGGAATTTACATATGAATGAATGCCTGAAAGGGATTCAAGGCGGACTGGGAGAAGGGAGATCGGATGTGGCTCGAAGAAGCACTCACACATGGAGTGTGGCCGGAGAAACCACTCATTCGCATGGGAATGATTCCATACTCACAGGGCCTCGTGCATTTGTCGTCGTCGCATTTGCAATTGCCAGCGAAGTATTAATGGCGGCATTTGAATAACAATGCAGGCACTGTCTACCCGATTGTGCAGTTCAAATTTAAAGGATAACTAAAACGAACCAAAACCCCCTAGTGATGAAATTAGAGAGTGTTAGGGGTTTAATTGAAGCAGAAAGTACATACTTTAGCAGAAACCTTCGCTTAGAGTAACGATTATTATGTTATCATGTGATTGTCATCCAGATTTTAAGAAGTGAACTTGAGTGAACTCCGACTTCCATCAACTCCAAGGGGAAATGAAGGAAAAGGGAGTGACTATTCAGCATCCTTGCCATCGCCTGTTATTAATGCCCACTCTTGGCGGCCTCTGCATTCTGCTGCTCGACTGGGATTTCCAAGAATCGTCGGTCATTGTCAGCCCACGTAGCATAATGAGCTCAGAATTCTGGGGAACTCGGCCATCTGAGGAAGAGTTCATTAAAGACCAATCGTAATGCAGAGTTGCCGTCTTTAAAATATGCAAACGTCATCCGGCTGCCGTTAATTATGGGCGCGATGGTTTTTATTTGAAAGGATATCAGTGTGGTATTGTTATTACTCCGACTAGGACTCTGGTTTTTTAATCATTTGTCTAAATTTTTCGATCCAGGTATTTATGGAGAAAGTACACACAAAAATTATTGTCAATTTCTTATTTCAAAATGTTAGTTGGCACCCAACTCTTGGTGGCCGCTGTACTGCTCTTAGGACCAGGTAAGCCCACCTCCTGGCTCTCGTTGTATCCCTGAAACTATATTGGAAACCCTTGACCAGGTGCCATGGGACAATGCGTCAATTGCAATAAGATCTATAAGTTTCACTGTCAGGTTAACAGAACTGGATACTTCTGCGAGCCCGGCTCTATCATCCATACCGTCCATACTGGTCCGTTTCATGATGTAACGTCCACGGTGAAACCCTTTGACGACCCGCACGAATCATGCACACCTAAAGAGTTCAACGTAGGTTAGTATCATGCCGGCCTGCGAGCCCTTTAACCACGGTTATCTGTCACAGAATACATCAGCACGTTCTGCTGCTTTTATTCACCGAGGATCGGCTGCCAGATGATCATAAACCCATCAATGTTGGCCTACGAGAACCGACCCGTGTCAAGATGCATGGAATGCAGTACACACTGCATGTGCATAACCAACAGGGGCTCAATCCCTTTCCAGTCCTGGACGGTGTTCTGCATCCTGGGCTACTTGGCCTCTTCGCTGATATCGTTTCCCAGATGGGTAAGTTTACTTAAGAATGTGCAGGATCGTATTCTAATCTATCTAGGCAGCGACCTTGGGTAAGATTTAGATGACGCCAAGAGCCCAGGATTCAGAAGATTGTTATTGAAGGGGCTTGAGCAACTATCAAAAGCATTGACAGAGCATCGTTCGCCGTAATGTGTTAATGTAAAGGATCTAATCGGAGTTCTGAATACTGCCAATTCAAATAAGAAGCTCCAAGGGATATATCTAAGGCTTTGAACCTACAAGTAGGACGAGTTAATCCTGATTGGAATGAATGCACTCATCCAGGTTACTCACTTCACATACTAAAATTTTTTGTGTAAACGTAAAAGTGCGATAAAATGTTAACCACTGATGGATGTTCCGAAAGTGACACAATCGAACCCTTGGACCATCCATAGCCTGCTCTCTGAGGTCGGGAAATGCCCGGACCCGGACCCGGAGTCGGTACGTGACTGGGAACATTATTGTTTGCTTATCTACACCTAATTGCTTCTGGCTACACTTAATAATATGCTACAGACATAGGCACAGCGTCATCGCCATCGTCATCGTCGTCATCGTCATCGCCGTCATGGCCAAGGCATCTCCACCCCCCTGAGGAAGGAGGGGTCTTGGTCGCGTTGTTTGCTCAGCTTCCCACTTAGCGTTGGTCGCTGGCCGTCTCTCGTCTCTCCGGCAGCGTTTTCATTCAGCCCGAGTTTCGCTGCACCATAAAAAGGGATTCTCGAGATTCTTTCCCCTCGGCCTGCTCCCCTGGCTATTGTGTTCTAGCAAAGGCAGAGATTCGGGCTCGGGTCCGGGTCCGGGTCCGTGGCTATTTGTTTGCTAGTCGTCCGTCTGTCCCGGCGTCCTCTGTTTTCTTGCCTCGTTCTTTGCGCTTTTTCAATTTGGGGGAATGAAAAATTTCATTGGAATTGGTTTTTATTGTGGGGGCCCCTTCTGATGGATTTCTTTAGGTACAATTTGTGTGACGCTAATGGAGCATGCGGGGGTCTTTGATTTTCGGGTGAAAGACGTAGAGATGTAGTGTCTCTTGAGCTGAGAGTTTAAAGGTAATTAAGATGAATTTGTCTCATAAACTACCAGAGAAGGAATAGCTAAGATCCTGCTGGTGAGTGTAAAGAAAACAATCATAATTCCCGAATAAGGTCATAACTTATGCTCGCCACAAGGGTTTCCCTCTTTCCTCCATTTCCATTGTAATAGGAGCTGCAGCAGCAACATTTTTCCCTGTCTGTGCCACTCTTCTATTTCCCATTTCTCCCTGACTTTTCCATCCATTTCCATGCCATCTATCTTGAGTGCTAATTGTTACGAATTTTCCACCACCCCCAGTGGAGAAGGAGATGCTTTCAATGGCTGCAAACAGTTTGTTGGGGGGAAAACTCAACACGGAGTGGAGGAAAATTCCCTCTGCTCTTGTCTCTATCCATCCCTCCTTGATGCATTCGTCGCAATGTGACAATTGCTAATTTAGCTGGGGCTGCAATGGGGGGCGTGGCCCAGGAAGTTCGTGACTCGACCGACTTGCAGCAGCCTCTGGGAAAATCAATTGCGAAGCGGGGCAGAGACTGTGCGGCTGGTCTATGAACAATAATCAGGCTAATAAACATTTCATTCACAGGCCTCATTGAGCCGGGCCAATCATAACAACAGCAGGAACGCAGTCGAATGCTGAATAGGATCCGTGGAACAAAGGGCCCCGAGGCAACATATGGGGGCAGACTAGACGATTGCTTTCGTTTTCATTGCTCGATGGCTGCTGTCATAATCCAAAGGCTGCCTCCTAAATCCAACCGGAAATGATTGTTTTCCCTATTTTTCGTTTCTTCTATTGCCCCGTTTCGAAATGACTTAGGGACGTGTTCTTATAATGTATTCAAAAACATTTAATTTATACTTATCGAGATTCTCTGCCAAGTGCAACTGTATTTAGTTTCGACCAGTTCACCTACCTGAAAGTAAGAAATAAATGAAATTAGTTCTGTTTGCTGTAATAATAATTGTAATCATAAAAAAAGAAAACCCGCTCAAAAATCACTTTCCAGACATCTGCACGTAGCAATCAAAACAAGAACAATAGAATTCTCTTTCCGTTTACCCCGAAAACTGGTTAATCCCACGCAAACTCTAACCATAAACCCAACCAAACGGAGAAGAGCTCAGCCCATTGCCACACACTAATGAAAATTGCAGCCAAAAATAAGTCTAGATAACAACTGCAGATATCGGGGCGGCAGGAGTCCCAGATATAGCGACAGTAACGTAGTCAGCGTCACCGGTAGTAACATTAACCGCAGGAAAAGTACGCACACCACCAAATGTGGGTCCCAAAGGTAAGTAAAACGATTCCGATTAATGCGATAGGAACAGAGAGACAGAAGGAGATGCACTTGGAGAAATATTTTCGATAACATTCGCGGGTTCAAGTTTAAAGAATTATTTTCTGGTCGTGTGTTGTTTAAAAGATCTCATTTGGTGCTTTATTTGAATGTATATTTGTGATTTCTTTAAATAATACTCTCACTGTTAAAGTCCTAAATTGCAATCCTACCGATAAAGATAAATACTAAATGATTGCCTAACCGCCTGTTATTTATCCCTCCTAGAAATACCAACGGAGTGCTGATTAGCTCAAAATTGTGATGTAAAGCGCTTTTAAACAGTTACAATGCCGTATCTTTTATTTCTGCTGTCTGGAAATAAATTTGACAGGGAGTCTGGGTCCCTGTTAAAGATAGTTTGCCACGACATAAACTTTTCTTGTCCGTAAAATTGTAACACTGGTTCAAGAACTGGATCCTTCTAACTATGCCTTTGTAGCTAATATACAGCTAATATATAGCTGTACAAATAATTTTCGAAAAAAGATCTATAATTCTATTTTTGTTGCGCCTTTAGGCTTTCTTTTCCTCAGTGTACAAAAAGGGTAAACAAGGTAAAGCAAGAGGAAACAGGAAGGTTAAAGAGCAGGGGCCAGCTGCAATGGAAAAATCCAATTAAAGGCTATGCAACTAAATAACCATATAGATGGGATTAAAGTTTACAAAGGCCAGTGAACAATAACATCGGCAAGAAGAGGAAACATAAAAATACAAATATATTTTTCAAGCTACATACATATTTATGTTTGCAATGCTCTAAAATATCACTTACTTTCAAGGGGAGTTTAATTTTCAGAGTCTCTTAATATTTTAAGAAAGTTAACTAGCAATTCGGTTTAGTAGCTGGGGCACATAGGGACTAATCAGATTTTAAACTTTTAGTAACTGAAACTACTTATAAATTATCCCAGTTGTGATTAGAACTATGTATAAAATGATGGTATTGATTAATGGAAAAGGTAATATACCTTCTTGGCAAGAGCATCAATAATTGAGCGGAAGTGCGAGCAAGGCAAATGCAGTACAAGCTGAACTGGGAGAAGAACCACACCAGTTGTGAAAACTCCCACGATGACCGAGTCTACAATGACCCCCACTTTCAACCCTTGGAAGTCAGCTTCAGCTAAACCCGTTGTCCGGGGAGTGGCTGCAACAGAGGTTAACCCCGTCGAACGGACGACGGACCATCGGTTTACAACAATAACCATTTCTGAAGGGTTAACACGTGGTCCATCTGCATACATCCACGTGCATGCCCTGGCAAGGGGTTTAGCTTCAGCCCCTGGTCCCCGACTCCACATGGGGGGTGGGAGCATTTTGTATATTCAATTACCGCCCCGCTACCGTGTCGAACATTTCCGCTAGTTGCGGCTCAAAACAGGATGCGCTGGGGGCTTGCTCCCGTCCACCCACTTGTTTGAATTTCTAATGCAATTTGCGGCTGCAACGCTTTTGTTGCCACTGCTCTGCCCCCTCCCCCCAAAATGTGTGGCGTGTCGTGTCCATTAGCACCTCAACACTCATAATACATATTCATTAATGCCCCGCAATGCTCCCTGTCCGTCCGCTACCTGGAAGGGGTTTAATTAACCTCCAAGGGGAGGACTCCATATCCGGAGTCAATCTCTTTAACTTCTGTGGCTGTGTCTGTGTCTGGTATCTGTAATAGATACACATTTCTACCGCCCCGCCCGTGGTTTTTCTTATCCTTCAACCTGTATCCGTTGAGTAGCCGCAAAATGCTCTCATTCATTAGACACCGGGCACCGTGAGGCGTAGTGCCAGGAACAAGTGTAACTTGATTGACTATTCTAATTGTTGTCCATCCCTTTGCAGAGCATCAATTATAAAGTTTATGCGATAAAGTTGATGAATTATTTAACATCCAGGTGTGAAAATCATGAAAAACTAAAATGAACTAGATCTAAAATTGATATTTAGTTGCTCCTGCTAACATATTCATAGAGTTCAACTTGTTGTATTAAGACATTCATTCCCTGACTTTGTCACCGCATAAACTCTGGAGATGGTCCTTTTCGGACGTGCTCCTTGTCCGTCTTGCACATTAGTTAAGGCTTGCGGCTAAACAACACCAACAAACAACAACTTTGAAACACAACAAAACACTTAAGGGCAACACTTTTAATTTTGCAGTGCAGGAAGAGGCGGGGCGGCTTCACCCCTTCGGGCGCAAGTTGGGGGCGAACTTGAAACTGATGCCCGGCACGTGGACTGGAGAAGAACATGACGCCCTCGGTGAGCAGGCACAAAAGACAGAAGACACCACTGACAGCCGAAAAAAGCGGCTAGGACTGGGTGCTGCGCGGCACTATTTAAATGCGATTTTCAGGGGCGCCGCCGCAAGGGGTTGACGGGGTGAGCGGCGCCCTGAGCCGCCGGCACGCGCACAAATTAGTGAGCTGAGCAGCAGATATGAAAAGCTGGGGCTCGTGCCATTCACTCACTCGCAATGCCGGCAACAACAACAATGGGATTGCGTATAATCAAAAATTAACATAACAATACAGCGAGCAGTGAGCAGCCACCGGAAGGGAGGAAGGTGCAGAGTGTTGCCACGCCGACACAAAAAACAGAGGAATATCGAGATGAATTCGCATGGCAGGAACTTAAAGCTGCCCAGGTCTTCGATTCCGACCCGACCGAGCCCATAATGAAAGGGTAAAGCCCAGGCCCAGGCCCTGGCCCAGGCACTGGGAATGCGATTCGATCGGGGCAGGGGAGGGGGTACGATGTCGAAGGATATAAGGGGGGAAGACAGTCATCCCAGTTGAAGCCTTTAACCGGGGCGAGCGAACCAGCAAAGCGGTCTGGCTTTATATATCCAGAACAATACATAGAGAGAAAATATTTTCTTTTTGTTATTAATAAAAAGATTGGCATGGGATTGGAAATCTCAAAGTTTTCATAGTATTTAACATGATATAATGAATATAGTAAACAGAAAAATATTTGGTTTTTCTACGACTTTAATTTAT